AAAAGTCTAGGTCAATAATATTACAACATTCAGTTTTCTTTTTTTTCTTTCCATTTGTACTATTGTAGTTGCATAGTGGTTTCTGGTTCTGCTAACTGAAATCTACTAATAATAATATTAATAACTAGCATTTATATAGTGCTTAAGGTTTACAAAATGCCTTACATATTAACATAAGTTGCAACAACTCTTAATCCTTTTAACAACTCTGAGTTACTGTCATGCCAACTAAACAGATGAAGAAACTGAGGCTGAAAGAGTTGAAGTGATCTGCTTAGGATTCCAAAGCTAGTGTTTGAAGCAGGATTTGAACTCCAGTCTTCCTGCCTGCAAGTCTAGCACTCTATCCACTATACCACTTAGCTGAATCTGCTCGTAGAAGTCTTCCCAAGCTTCTCTTCATTCTTTATATTCATCAGCTCTGCCAAACCCCCGTGTAAATCAAACAAGCAAAAACAATGCATGTGAAGAATTCAGGAAGGATTTAGATGAATTAATACAGAGTTAAATAAGAAGAAGTAAGAAAAGAATATACATGATCACAACAATGTAAAGAGAAAAAAAATTTTTAATTAAACTAAAAGCTAAGTCATTATAATGAGCAAGCTCAGCCCTGAAGAAGTTATGAGAAGACATCTCTCTCTCCTTTGCTGACAGAACTAGGGGTCATTGTCAAACATAACTGAAGTATTGGTTGGTTTCACTACACTTTCTTCTTTTTTTTTAATCTTCATTGCACAGGATAACTTGCTAGGTAGGAAAGAAAGAAGGAACATATGTAGAAAGGAAAGGTGATATTAAAAAAAAAGATAACAATAAAAAAAAAGTTTTTCCTTCTTAAATTTTCATCAAGGATACACATAAAATATGTGGACCTTTCTCATAAAGTATGGAAAAAGTAAGGAAAAAAATCATTATTTAGTCCATCTCTCTGTCATACCTATCTCACCCCTGCTTGAAGTACTGGGGCCACTCTGGGGCCCAATTCCAATCTGATCAGGACCCAGGAAGCTTTGACCTGTTCGACTTTTGACCTTGTCTAATTGTCTCTCCTTAGGCACCGTGGTAGAGCCCTGATCCCAGGGGTTTATCGTATTAATTCTGAATTGGGTGCTTACAAGTGATTAGCTTTGTTCACTATAGCTTAGAACTCTCAAGCTCAAGAGGTCACCAGCTTCAGTTTCCCTGGTAGCAGAGCCTATAGACATATACCATACTTACCACTAACTGATCTCCTTGCATAAAGATAATTTTGTTTTGTAAAAAGTAGGTATGAATTATACAAAGCAAGAATATATTAAGGAGCAATACCTAAAAGAAACGTACATTTTGAGGTACATATAGACTGTCAAATATTTAATTTCAGTCTAGTGTTTGTTTTTCTTCCCAATTTAATCAGCCATAATCAGCAATTATTAAGTACTTAATCTACATCAGATATTGCATTAAGCATTGGAGATACAATAAAAAAGTAAAAATAGTCTTCATCCTCAAGAAGTTTACATTCTATGTAAGCCAACCTGTAAATAAAAAGTAATATGCAAGAAACATAAAAGAGAGAAGATAATCTTAGAGAGAAGGTACCAGACATTGGGGTGTGGGGGAGAGAGACCGAACCACAAAGATCCCTTGTACAAGACAGTATTTGAGCTGATTCTTAAAGGGAGCCAAGGATTCTAAGAGGCAGAATTGAGGGGAAAGTGCATTATAGGCAAAGTGGGGGCACAGCCAGTACAAAGACAAGGCAATGAATGTGAAGTGTCACATGTGAAGAACAACAAAAAGGGCAGTATAGCTTGATCATAGAGTACACGAAGAATAATAAAATGTAAGAAGACAGCAAGAGGAAGAAGTAGTAGTCGGGTTGTAAAGAGCTTTAAATGACAAAAAGTTGGTTTGTTTTTTTTAAAGGAGTTTATTAAATAGGACAATGACATAGGAAGACCTATGCTTTAAGAAAATCACTTTGGCAGCAGCATGCAAAATGGATTGGAGTGAACATACCTGAAGTACAAAAACTAAACAGAAACCTACTGCAGTAGTCCAGGACAGAAGTGATAAATACCAGCACCAGGGTGCAGTTGTGTGAGAAGAGCACTGGAGACACATAAGAAAAGTATCCAGCAAATGACAATCTGTCCAGGGTGAGTGTGAGGAGCCAAGGATAACACCGAAGTTGCAAACTGAGTGACAAACAGGATGGTAGAGCCCTCAACAGTAACACATAATTTCAAAAGAAGGCTAAGAGAAGGGAGAAGATAAGTTTTGTTTTGGACATGTTAGTTTGAGATGTCCACTCGACATTAAGCGTGAAATGTTCAACAGGGAGTTGGTGATGTGGGACTAGGGCGCAGGAGGAAAAAAAAGACTAATGGTGAACATACACATCATGAAATAACTGCATGGAGATTAAGGAACCCACAGAAGTTGATGACATCAACAAATGAGATATTACAGTGAGAAAAATGAAAAAGGCACAGAACAGAACTTTGAGGTACACCCATGGTTAGCAGACATAGCCAGATAACATCTACATAGTGTTTTAAAGTTTGCACAGCACTTTATAATATGAAGATCCTTCAAAGAAGACTGAGGAGTGATCAGGACGGTAGAGAAGAATGAAAAAGCCATGCAATGAAAACAGTGAAGAAAGTGATGAATAGTCTCAAATGCTACAGAGAAGCCAGGAAAGATGAGGACTAAGAAAAGACCATTAGATACGGCAGTTAAGACAATGCTGGTAACTGGAAAAACCAGTTTTAGTAGAATGATTAGATCAGAAGTCGGACTATAAAAAGTATAAAAGAGATTCAAGGATAGGAAATGGAGGTGCACCAGATAAAAATGGATTTTTCAAGGAGTTTTGCCAGGAAGGGGAAAGTAAGACAAAAGCTATTCAGATTAGTTTAAAATAAAATGCTAAATTCGTTTTCTTTTTCAGAAGATTTTGGGAGTAAAGTTGGTATGTATGACTAGGTTTACCATTTGACTATATGACTAGGTTTACATATATGACATATATGACTAGGTTTACAATTTAACCACAGAATAGACACATCACTCTCACTCTATCGTGGAAAAAATCTCAGCATTATTAATCTGGAGACCTGGATTCTAGTACCTTCTCTGTCATTAACTATCCTTGTAACATGAGGAAATTTACTTATCCGGATGTCAGTTTTCTCATTTGTAAGATGAATGAACTGGTGAATAAAACAAATCTTAGATTCTACTTCATACTTATTGCATTGCCAAAGTTGGCAAGACGTGAAAAAAGGAACTGTTTGGAGGGATATGGGGAAGTGAAGTTCATTAATGGATCATTGGTGAAGCAGTGAATGTAACAATTCTGGAAAGCAATTACCAAAAAGTCACTAAACTGCAATATTCTTTGTCCCAAAGATGCATTACTAGGCACACAGTGTACCTCAAAGAAGTCAAAGATAGAAGGTTAAAGTACCCATGTGTACAAAAATATTTATAGCAATGCTTTTATTATAGTTAAGAAATGGAAACAAAATGGGTATCAATTAACTGGGAAATGACTGAACAAACTGTGCTGTGCGTACTGTGCCATAAAAAATTGTGAATATGATAGACTCAGGGAAATCAGGGAAGATCTGAATAAACTGATGCAAATTAAAATAGGAAGATCCAAGAACTACAATGATGAGAATAATGGAGGAGAAAACCACATTGAAGGATAACCGACTCTGATCAATACACTGACCAATCCATGACATCAGTGGACAGGTGATAAAACATGGTGTCCACATCTTAGAAGAGAGATGATGGACCAAGGTTCAAAAGGACACATGTACTTTCAGACACGGAAATGTGTTGATGTTTTGATTAACTACTCGTATTTGTTACAACAGTGGCTGGGTAAGTTAGTCAGCAATGAGGGAGAAGGAAGGGAGGTAGGCAGGAAAGGGAAATGAAGAACTTAAAAATACACATAACAAAAAACTCAGAATGACATACAAATAAGGCAATTTTGTTGTTACCACATTAAATTTAATAAGTAAAAACTATGTAATTGAGGTTCATGGTTTCCTATGATTTTATTTTATTAAGTATACAAAACTTAAACATTTGTGGTTGTAGATGATTATTAAGTTCATAATAAAAAAAATTTAGTAAAGAAATAAAATGAAGTGTTTGAAATGATAATCTCTCTAATAAATGTCCTTTCCAGCTTTATGGTTCTTTATACAGTTACCGTATTTTTGGCCTTTCTGCAGCAAGCTTTGGGTACTTAATCCATTACACTGAGAAGAAAGGTAATATACAAATAATCAGCTAAGTTGTATAATGATTTGTCAAGCACAAGTGGCAATATGAGAATAATTCAGGAATATATTTCAAAAGTTATCCTCTACTATGCTCTGATTTCTTTCTGTCAACATACAGAATGGCTTTAAAAATTATTTTACTTATGTACTTTTAAGCTTTGCAGAAATAACACACTCAACTTAATAATATATAAACTATAGCTATAAGGGAAAGTTATGTTAAATGTTAATGAATTACATGTCCCTTTGGTTTCTTATCCATTTAAAATTTGAAGAAAAAGTTAATGTTTACAAAACTGAAAAATGAGGAAACAAAAAAAGAAAACTCTTAAAATTTCATAAGTAAATTTTGCATTTCATTTAAGATGAGAGTGACTGCAAATATGGAGAAGTAAAACTAAAGAAAATTTGCCAATGAGTTTCTAAATGCCAAGATGATTACTGATGAGCATGGGAATATTTTAGTTCAAATATCTATTTTAAAAAAAAACAGAGAGCATCAAAATACTTGTTCTTAATTCCTTCATGATTTCAAATATGCAAAATGCAAGATGAATGCTCAAGAGATGAACATTTTACAAAATTAGTAAAAGTAGATAGTATATTAGGCTCTAAATATTGAAAATTAATTGAAAATTAAAATGCAACATGCACCCACACACCCCATCCAATATAATCAGAATTCTGAAAGCACATGTTACTTACTCTGTATGACCTTGAAAGACATTCACAGAATGGATTGAAGGATCTCTGAAATCCCAAAGGCGAAAGGTTGTATCACGAGACGATGTCACTACAAGACGCTGGGTGGGATGTGTACAACAATGTGTTAACTCTTGATCATGCCCTATAACCACAGATGAGAACATTTAGAATACCAAAAAGGCAAGATTTCTTATTTTCATGAATATATCTATAATAAAGCACTGATCAAAAAAAGAAAAAACTTCACTTCTGGGAGAAAAAAAAGAAAACCAACATGGAAATTATATTTATAAAGTGTCCTCCAATGTAGAGTAATCAATTTAGTTGGAAACTAAAAATGAACAAGTCACTTTAATGGGTACTGGGCAGCTAGGTGGTACAGTGGATACAGCACTGGCCTTGGAGTCAGAAGGACCTGAGTTCAAATCCAGCCTCAGACACATAACAATCACTAGCTGTGTGATCCTGGGCAAGTCACTTAACACCAACTGCCTCACCAAAAAAAAAAAAGGGAGGGGGGGTAAGGTACACTTTAATGAGTATTTTTCTAATAGAATCAAAAAGGCATAGGATGCCTGAGACTAGTTTCAACAAAACCTCAAATATGTTAGTCTTTTCAGACATGCATTCAAGTAGAAATCAGGAAATGGCAATTTGTTAAGTATTTAATGTGATAAAAATGCTTACTTTTAGGTTCAAGTTATTTATACATGCTGAGTCAGTACAATAGTCCAACTATGTGAAAGCTTCATCTTTCAGAGTCCCACCCCCAAGGTCACTCTGAACACAATAAAAAATGCAAGGGAATATAGACTGATTACAACTGTTTTAGAACCGAAGAACTGAACTAAAAACATCCAAATGTTGTGAAGCTCTCAATACAACAATTATGATTAGATTAGAAAATACTTTCTCTTTACAATTCTTCAAAATTTAAGTATTTCAATCCTTTGATCCATATATCGTAGCTCTCTACATTGCATAGGGTCAGAAAATTGCAGAACTAGAATACATAAACAATTATACAAGCTTCAGAAGAAACTTCTATAAAAAATATCTTTGAATGACTGAAACATACAAGATATAACATTAATTCCATTGAAAAAAACTCATCTGAAAGACGTGTGTCCTTTTTACCAAGGACAAAACAAAAAAATACTTAAAAGGTACCTGTTAAAGAATGAACAAGCTCAGATGTCTCAACATCATATAGGTTTGCTGTTCTATCCCATGAGGCTGTTACTGCTTGCTTCCCTCCAACCAACCAATCAGCTGCTATTACCACTCCTTGATGGCTTTTAAGTGATGTTAAGGGAACCCTGATGGTAGGGCAATCACTGGAACCTTCTCCATCACCATCCGCATCATCTTTATCTGAAAATTCCACTTCATCTTCTCCAGACATTTGTTGCTAAAAACAAGAGGCATAAAAGTGAGTTTTTTCTCATATAAAATTTAGTTTACAACTACATTTAAACTTCTTTATTGCACGACTCCATAATTAGACTCTTCTTCCTGGACAACCAATTAACATTTTATTTGTCCACTTGCCCCTCAGAATTATCAACTAATCCAGAAAAACGAATAAAGTCACTGTCATATAAAGGTGCTAAGATCTCACCAGTGTTAACCAATGGTAGTGTTAAATGGTAAGCAAAACAATTCTTTATTTTTAATAAGTTGTAAACATTGATTTAAACACAGAATTCCCTTGTGATAGTACAATATAAAACAACAAATTAACAGAAAATGAATAATCTAGCACACAATGTCAATATTAAATTTCTATTTTATAAACAGATTGTTTCTAAAACAAGTTTTAAGCTATTCTTAGTTTAATATTTTCTACCTACTCAATCTCCCACTAGAAATGGTGATCCTTTACTTCTCTGTCTTTAATAAAAAAAAATAAGGCCAAAATGAAAAGAACTTTAAAAGTTTCATAACTGAAATTTTCGCTAGGATAATAAATTTTATTCTAAAAATTACTAAAGTTTCTATTTTAAATACCCTTAGAGTTTTCTTTTGAAAAGTTAGCAAAATAAATTTACTCACAAGGGATATTTTTCCAAACTAAACACTGAACTTTCCAAAAAAAGGTTTCTACCAATATAAACCATGATATGATACAGAGGAAAATTATCTTCAAAACTTTTAAAGTTACCTATTTAAATGAAAGAAAAATCATAAAATTATACAGTTTTTAAAGCTGTAATTTAATTCAAATCCCTTACTTTATAGATAAGGCAAGTAAGCCATGAGAAATGAAGTTAACTTGTTGAAGGTTACACAGGGAGTAAATGGCAGAGTTGGAATTCAAACCTAGGTCAAGAAGTTACTTAAATTCTTGGGGCCTCAATTTCCTCAGTCACAAAGCTATGAATTACAGAACCAAGATCGCAGAATCTCAACTTTCAAGACTCCTAGTCTAGATACTATGCTAATACTAAACCAATTCTGTGATTATTAAATGTTGTTGTTTGTCCCTCATTTTCTTTTTTTTTCTTAGGCAATTGGGGTTAAGTGACTTGCCCAGAGTCACAAAGCTAGTAAGTGTCAAGTGTTGGTCTGAGGCTGGATTCGAACTCAGGTCCTCCTGACTTCACGGCCGGTGCTCTATCCACTGCGCCACGTAGCTGCCCCCTGGTTCCTCATTTTCGAAGAGTACCGCTGACAGCATGGGTCATGTCTTGGCTTGCGCGTGAACTGGATTTAAGTAAGGCCAAGTTGCACAGTTGTCAGCCCCACTCTCTCTTCCAGTCATTTAAGTCCAGTGGCTGGATAAAATTCAGGATGACCTTACAGTGGATGCAGTGGACAACCTCTGCATCTTCGATATCTGATGAAGCTCTAAGTGCTCTACAGTGCCTGTTCCAGCTGCCTTCAGGGCCACTGGAACAAATTGTTCTCATCCATCCTCCCACTCCACTGAGGGAAGTCTTCATATGCTTGGGGTAGAAATCCCCTAAACTCAATGACAAGTCTGAAGCCTGTCACTTAACCTCAACCCACTTTAGCCCATCTGCCTATATAAAGATGGTTTACTTGGGTGTGACTGCTGTGAAAGCTATAGTTTTTTTGCTAATAATTAACAATGTTGATATGGGACTTTGAGGATTTAAAAATACCTTTTATATATGTAAAATTTCATTTGATCCTAACAACAACCTTGCAGGAACCTGCCATTATAATCCTGATTTTATAGACAAGAAAACTTCTTAATTTTTGCTGATTCAAACTAAATGATGAAAAATTCTCATTAAATAGTACTCAAAACATATAACAATTCTATATGGGCTGAGCAAATTTGTGTGTGTGTGTGTGTGTGTGTGTGTGTACATGTACATATAAAGTTTTCCTGTATGCCACATATAGTATTTATAATACAGTTTTCTTTTATATACATAAAATATAAAGTTTTCATAGATCTCTATATACAAATACATGCATGCATACATACATACATACACATCCTTCACATAATTAGAGTGTATTCTAAGCCACTGCAGGTGGTAGTTTAGTAGAAGGAATACAGGATTTAGAATCATATAACTTGAATTCTAACTCCAGCTTTGTCACTTACTACCTTTATGACCTTAGACAAGTTACTTTATCTCTTAGGCCTCAGCTTCCTCATCTATAAAACAAGGGAGTTGTACTACATATTCTCCTAAGGTCCTTACCAATATTATATGCTATATATTATATGATTCTACTGTTTTTGGTCACTAGTATTCAGCATATATTTTATCAATAAAGTATCAGTAATGTGTGACCAGTTTAGTGAAAATTTTGTAGACTGTACACATCAATTGAATTTTTATTTTACACGTAACGCTGACAAAAATCCTAAAATTCCTCAATCTTTGATCCTTTTCAGCTCTAACATCTATGATGCAAAGAATAAAAAATGTTTAAGATACTAAATACTTCATGAATACAATTACATTTGCATACAAAAAGTACTAATTCAAACGAGATCTTTGATCATTAAAAAGGATTCAGCATAAATTCTACTTGACAACACTTTAAGCAGGTCAGATTACTATAAATACTGTAAATATTATTAAAGTCTAAGTCTTAAAAAATTATTATACTCTGTAATAACGTCCCCACTAAATTTCTATACTCTGATGCTTCATCATGGCAGAAAAGTATGCCAGTAAAGCATAAGCTTTGGTAGGTCCTATCTAGCTTCAAAGTCCATGACTATAGGCCTGGCAATAAACTATGAAAACCAGTTTAGTTAAGTTTGGAGAGGTTCATCACAAGAAGGGTGGTCACCAAGTAATAAATGATTTCATTCACAGCAACTTATGAAGACAATCTTCTAGGGTGGCCAGAGGTTAAAATGTGTGCCACTGGAGGCAGTATCCACATCAATTAAATCTCTGAATTGACCCTTTAAGTCATAAAATAATATTGCGATGATGATACAATGTAACAATTCAAACTTTATTTCCCTCACATTTAGACCAAAATTCTGAATTTAGAGTCACAGACAGACCCAAATATAAGTTAATTGCCATATTCAATGCAAGCACAATGAAGAGAAAAATGAAATCAGTACCAAAATTTAAGCAAATTATGAATTTTCACCATGTAATACACAGTAAAGTTTCCTGATTCAACCATAGCTTCATATTTACCTTATAGTGAGTTGTACCTTGAAAGATTAATAAATGCAAGCTCATTTAATTTCTACATAATTTATCTGTTGCTTGTATGGCAAAATTTATCCATAAAAGAATAAGATTAATTTTAATTATGTTATATTTTCTACTATAAAGAAAATGTCTTACTTCTGAACTTAAAATATTACTACAGCTGTTCAGAATTAAATTCCTATGAGAATTTATTCATTTTAAGACAGAATAAGATCCTCTAGAATCTGCTAATTTTCTAACTACATCAAAATCAATTCAAAACCAAAAAAAGTAAACATAATTTTCTTGGAAGACACTTCAAAATCCTCAAAATTTGACAGTCATGGTCAAAATGTATATCTTTAAATAATTAACTTGGGTGTTGACTTTAACAAATCATTTAGCTTTCTCTGCTGGGAAACTTATGAGGTAATGTCAAACAAGCATGTAACCGCATGTAACAGGTATATATCAGGTAATATATAACTAAAGTATTTGTATAAAAAATGCAACAAGCTTAATGGCCAAAGTCTAACCTTAAGCTGTAAGAAGACATAAGTAACGGATACATATAACTAGAGCACATAACATAACTGAATTTTTCATTTAAGTCAAGGCACTTACACTAGTATCTGTAGTAGGCTGAGGTGTTGGTAGCTGTACCATGTATCTCCAGATATGAGCTGTCTGGTCGCCAGATGCTATGAGGAATAAATCAGAAAAACATATTTCTCAAAATAAATATAACATAAAAAATGTTTTCTGTTATTTTGGCTAAACAACATGAGCAATATTTTTATGACAAACACTATTAATGTCACTTGGTAAGACAACAGAAAACAACTGTAACTTTATGATGTTGTTGGGAAGAATCATCCACTATAAAAAGGGAAGAGTAAGACAAAGTAATTATCATGAAAATATTCTCCCTTTTATTGGAGGGAAAATACACTTACTAATGTTCAAGGTCCACATATATTTTTTACTATTAATTAATTTAATCTAGAATAGAATCTCATTATAGCAAACTTTGTTTACTATGTGTAATATGTATAATAATAGTTAATAGTAATGATGATAATAAGCATTTACATAGTGATTTGAGGTTTTCAAGGCACTTTACAAACATTATCTTATTCGATCCTCATAACCCAGGGAGAAAGGTGCTAATATTTTATCACCATTTACAGATCAAGAAACTGAAACAGGCAGAGGTTAAGTGATTTTCCCAGGGTCACAAAGTAAGTGCCTGAAGCAGGATTCAAATTCAAGTCTTCCTAACTTCAAGCTATTTATCTATAAATATATGTATGCATCTACATAAAAATGGGTTTCTGTGTATATACACATACACATACCAAAACTCATTTTCTCAGCTAGGGCATATATAAGAGTAGTCTAAATGAAATTGTTTATTAGGGGAGTATTTACATATTTACAGAAAAAGAAACTTTACCATCAAGTTTTTCACATAAGATATAAAATATTTTGGTGAATTTAAAATGAATGCCACTTTCATAAATGTGCTCAAAGAAAGCATTAACTACAATTTATGAAATGCTTTAGTACTTAGCCTTTTTATAAACCTCCTTGAAACTACTACCTTACCTCTTCCACTGATGTTTTCATTACAAAAATATTATATTTATTAGCCTCAATAGCCATTTTACTACAATGGAGAAGCAATTTATATAAAATTTATTTCATTTTATCATTATATCTGTGCTTTTTATTTTGAATCAATGCCTCCACTGATAGGGTCTGGGACAAATGTTTATCAGGTTCTACCAAGCTCCAAAGGTTTCAAGTGCAGGTCCAATAATAGACCAGATGTGTATTCTGGGAAGTAACTTAGCAAATTATGCAGAGGTATACTGCCACAAGGTTAGCTACCAAGTTATGAAAATTTTGGTTATGCCGCTCTATGAAACAACAACAAATACAAAATGGTCCCCAGTCTGGTGAAAGTAGTGGATTGGCAAATGAGAAGCAGCATGCAGTAGTACCAAGAGGGCTGAAATTAGAGTTGGGAAGCTTGGGTTCCAATCCAGCCTCTGACATTTACTAGCTTTGTGACCATGGGCAAGTCACTTAACATCTTTTGCCTCAGTTTCCTCATCTAAAATATGAATAACAACAACTCTAGTGCCCACTACACAGGCTATAATGAGGCTCAAATCAAATAATGTATGCATATATTAAAATGCTATAAAATGTCTTAATTACAATTATGTTATCTCATCTTTTTCAACCAGCATCACATAAAAAAAGGTTCCTTGGACAAGTTAGTATCCTATTCACTTACATATGATATCCTTTGAACTATTACAATGCTTTTCGTAGTTGAATAAAGTAAAATAATTGCCTTTTGTAGTTGAATAAAATAATTGTTTTTTGTAGTTGAATACAAGTATAAAGAGAAAAGCTCATCATCTGCAGGCTCACTGAAAGCATCCTTAGTACAACTCTCATAGCAGATAGGGCAACAGGAATAATATGTACTTCATCCTCTTCCCGTATGATTTTTATTTATCTCCTAGGCCAGATCTTTATATTTTGAAAGTTTTTCCTTCCAGTTTGGAGATTGCAAGTATTTGGAATAGTGATTTTTATATATATATTTTAAAAAACACTGTTATGATTTTATAAATCAGTGTTACATTGGGCAATTACAGGCAACAGCTTAATCTGTGATAATGATGTTGTTCCAATACCATTTATTGTTTGAGTGAGTTCTAGAAAACATTTTGAGGTCTCTATTTTTCATGAAAACTAAAGAGACAGGGGTGTGGGTATGGGGGTGTGTGTGTGTGTGTGTATTTATTTCTAGCTACATCATATCTTGTGTGTGTGTGTGTGTGTGCGTGTGCGTGCGCATATTTATTTGTTTCTAGCTACAACATCATATCTTGCTAGGGCTACATCAAATCACTTTTGACATGATGATATTTGCCTTCTACCCTTCAGGGAAATTTCTATCTCTATGGTTGTTACCATGGCTATAACACCCCCCCCCCACCACCACCATATACTACTGTACAGAAGCTCTCAAACATTTTTTTCGCTTTTTGTCAAAAATGGTTAAGAGAATGTATTCACTTATGATGGCTTTAGCAGATATCAAATAACTCTATCTTAATACAACTGGTCAACAAATCATTACATTTTTTTAAAGTTTTTTTGGAATTGGGTCTAAGAATTCTAATCTTTTTCAAAATCATTTGGGACTTTGGTGCTGTTTTTCAAATCTGTTTCATCACTAGATATGATTTCTAAAATTTGTAATGCATGAAGATTTTCAATGACCTTGAGTTCTTTAACTTTTCCCTTTTGAGATTTAAACAGTTCTTCCATTTAATCTCCAATTTCATCTAATCTTGGTTTAGGGATATAATTTCTTACTTTTGTTTTTGATGGCCCTGTAATAGTTAACAGTACATTGTTGTGTGACTTAGCATTGAAGCTATTACAAAGAACAGTATAAAGCTCTTGTCAATAGCTGATGAGTTTATAAGTTTGCATAATTAAAGTTTACTGGTTTACTACTGCACAACAAAAGCAGCCATGCCTTCAGTCCATTTCATGTAGTCTCATGGCTTGCCTGATTTAGTGGTCAGTGATAAATGCACTGAAGTATTTCCAGTAGGTGGGAATACTGGTAATTCTCATTTGTTGAGTATGTTTTGCCTTCTTATGGTATCAGAACACAAAACAGAGCCAATCAATTCTCTATCTTCCCTAGCAAGCTGATCATCACAACAGGCAAACCTGCAACCTTATGCTGCCTATCTCCTTCTTCACTTTTAGGAACAGTAATATCGCATTGATTATAGTATTAACCCAGTAATAGCACCACAGCCTAATTCAGCATCATTTCAGGGCTTCTGCAAGGACTCCACAGCTACTATAATAATCTCAAGGCATGCAAAGGTCCCACTGTACATGACCCTGGTATGAGTCCCTCCATCACATCCGAGCCTCAGGTCACGGACGACAGGTTTGATTTTGTGGGAGTTGGAAATAAAGATGACGATGAAGAGAATGATGCTAAGGATCTTTGTCAATGACTACTGGAGTCATACTACTGGAGAAAACGATCCATATTCACAGACATTTTTCATTTTAAAATTCAATAATTATCTCCTGGCCCATTTCACCATGATATATGAATTACTGAACAAAAGGCCCAAAAGGAGTATTAACCTGCTTACTGAGAAGGCCTGATAGTACAGTTGAAAAGAACACTGAATGTGTAATTAGAGGTGACAAGAAACTTCATACAGTGCCCACAATCAGGGTAAGCAAATAGATGAGCAGAGAGGCTAACTTCTACTGCAGAGGATAAATGAAGTGTTGATTTATATGTATGCATATAAAATTATATATAGATATATGTGCCTACATAAATGTACCTAAAAATTACACAAATAGATAGACCCTAATCCTCAATGACTTCAAAGTGAAGATGGACATAAATCAAAATAGGAAGCATTTATTAAGCATATACTATGTGCCAGGCATTATGCTAGATGACAAGGAATAACTCTGACTTCAAGACATTATAACTGAGCGTGACAGACAACATTTATGCAATTATGTATAAATAAGATATATACGCTATAAACTGGATATAATCTCCAAAGGAAGGATTAAATATTAAGGGAAGCCAAGAAAGGCATTCTAAAGAATTTTAGCTGAGGCTTAAAAGAATCCAAGAAGCAGACAAGAAATAGGAGAGAATTCCAGGTATGAGAGAGAATCCAGTAAAAATGCAGTCAGGATAATCTTGTGTGAGGAACACCAGAGACAAGTGTCACTGGATCATACAGTATGTACAGGGGAGAAAAGTAAGAAGGCTGAAAAAATAGGAATGGGCCAAGTTGTGAAGGGTTTTAAAAACCAGAGGATTTTATATTTGATTCTTGGGGTAATAGGGAGCCACTGAAGTTGACTGAATAAGAGGAGTATGACATGGTCAAACCATACTTTAGGAAGATCACTCTGAGTTCTACAGCGAGGACACAGACCAGTAAACTATTACAATAGTCACTGTCATGTGCTATGACCATGACAATTACATGTCATGTCATACTGCAATAGTCCAGTTATGAACTCATGAGGGCCTGCATCAGGGTTGTTACAATGTCAGAAAGAAAGGGAGTACATATAAGAAAATAAAAAGGTAGAAAGACAGGACTTTGGCAGCAGTTTGTATACAAAAGGTGAAAAAGTATGTGGAATCAAAGGATTACACCTAGGTTGTGAGCCTGGGTTACTTGGAGAATGGTGGTGCCCTTGACAATGATAGGAAAAATTAGAAAGAAGGAAGTTTTGGGGGGAAAGGATGAGTTTGGTTTTCAATATGTTGAGTCTAAAGTATCTACAGAACAGTCAGTTTCAGGAGTCCAGTAGATAACTGGAGCTATGAGACTGGAGGTCAGGAGCGAACACAGGTCTGTACAAACAGATCCAACAATGAGATGAGGATGGTAAAAATTATGACTCATATCATTAGGGATCAAGAAATAAAAGTAGTCAAAAGCTTATGGATGACTTAAGAAGTCTCAGATTTTATATCATGAATAATTTCTTCAAAAGGGTTCTACAAATAGTGACTACTGAACAAAATCATCAGAGATGAAATCGACTACATCTTAACAGAGAAGAAAAATAATTATTGCTAGCAGTCATTTCAGCATGAGCTGTCCACGTACAGTCAGATTACTGACTAGTTAAGAGAAAAGGTCAAAATCAATAACATTTAAAAAAAAGATCATAAGAAAAAAGTATCATTATAGTAGCTTGAACCAAATTTAAATAAAGGCATTAATTTCATCTTTCAAATTTAAAAAGAAAATTGGAAATATACTATAAAAGGCATTAAACCTTACCATCATTTCCTAGAAAAGTTTAACTAATTCATCATAATAGTCACTAAAAGGGGACAAAAAGAACCCAGGAATTCTCTCAAACCAGCAAAAAAAATCTTTATGCTAACTGGAAAGAGATCAAAATCAATCAAGATTTAGAGCATAAGTTCATTAAAAAATGAATGAAAATAAAAGAACACCACACCTTCACAAACAATGAGAAGCACTTGAAAGGAAAACACACATACCCTCAAAACCTGCAAAGTCTGCTCTCATGGAGATTTGAGAGATCTTAGAAATCTGGCATATGGATCAATAAATGCTGATGTCTCATTAATTGTCATTTTTTGGTTTAAAAAAATTGCTGTGATCTTTTCGAGTATTTTTGAATCTCTCACTCTAAGAGATGTTAAAAATCTATTCCCAAGTGCTTTTAAAATTAAGTTTCCCTTAGCACTCATTTCTTTTACGTGTATTTGTCTATTCTCGGTGCTATTCCAGACTGTGCTACTGCTACTTGTTTCTATAGCCCATAGGGGTATTAAACTGGAATACTAGCATCTCAAAACAAACAAAACTAAAGCTGATTTAAAAGGCAATGAAAAAAAGTGGCTTGACTAGTATATGGCTAAAGCATATTAACAATTCTCACTTGTGTATGAAAAATCATGTAAACAGCAATTCTGAAGGATACATGGAAAAGACATTAAAAAATGTAGGTGGGCTGATGAGGTACTGTGAATGACCAGGCTGAAACAATCAATCACTCAATAAGCATTTACTATGTGCCAGCACTGGAGTAGGTGCTGGCGGTGCAAATACAAAGAATGAAACAAACTCTACTTCTCAAGGGGCTTATATTCTAATAGGGCAAAAATAATTACATATATGCACATATTCAGAATAAATAGAAAGAGAATAAACACGAACAAATACAAGGTACATAAGGAGAGAGGGTATTAGGTGGTAGGAGGTATCTCTCAAAAGAATACATCAATAGACCCAAACATAGAGGGGTGGCTCCTCTAAGGAAGATTTAGGAAAAGAAATGGACAAAAATGCCCAAGTTAAGAAGGCATGGAAAGACAGGGAACTGAATTAATGGAAGGGGTACTCAATTTAATGACATCATGGATCTGTATCGTTATCAATTGTGTTACCTTTTTTCATGTGTAAGACGAACAAAACTACATAACTTGACACCTTCATGCAATGTATCAGAAAATTAGTTTTGGTAAAATGTCAAGTCTATCTTCCCTGTTTTATTCATATACAGTATAAGAGGAGACAGCAATGACAGTAAGAGCCAAAAGGACAATAAAGAGTTGCACCAAATTCTATGTAGTTCCCAACATCTGTACTCCATATAATCAGATTTAGTTAATTTGTACCTCAAAAACAAGAAGCTGCTTCCATACCTTTGATATGCTTAATTAAACAAGGAATATATGCTGATTTTATTCCCCCCAAAATGCAGTTAAATAAAAAGACTTGCTATATACTGAAATAATTTTGTTGTGTAAGTATTTCATTTAATCTAACTAGTAAAAGCACCAAAAATTACAGCATTTTAACATTTTCACACTTATTACCTCATTTGATTTTTACAATATAAATTAGGCAAGGACTTTGCATATAAAGAAACTAAGGCCATGAGAGATGACATGCTCACAGTCACAAAGCTAATAAATGGCTATTACTACACAATCATGAGAAAATAAAAAACTTCTTTCCAAATACACGTTTACCTCTCAACTTTATTACATAGAGCAGTTCAATGTTCATAAAATACCTACGTAATGCTGATGATACTGTTAATACTCAATGAATATTTATTAGTAGTATCAACAATCAATCAATCAACAAGCATTTACTAAGTTCCTGTTATGTGCTAAACACAGTGCTAGGTATTCAGGATGCAAAGAGTAAGCATAATAATTAATACTTTTGTGTAATAAATAAAAATTTCACATACCAGTAAGAGCTACCTGCTCAGAAGGATGAAATTTTATGGAATTTACTGCAAAAACAAAACAAAACCAACTGTCATGACAAGAACATAACACATAATATTTATCAGTTTATAAAAACATGTACCACACAAAGCATCCATTACCTGTCAGTTTGAAAAAAAAAAAGATATCCAGAAATAAACTTTGACTATTTTATTCATTTATTCAGAATGTTAATAGCCTACAATATAACCTACACACATAATAATGTTAATTTTGGTTTCTTTTTAAATAAAAACAGAGTTATGAGACATAAAAATAAGAATCAAAAAAGCTTTCAATAATGACACAGCAGTACAAATATTTATAACCTTTCCCTAAATCACCCTAGCAACTAGCAGAGAAGACTAGTTACCCTAACTTCTACCTCTTATAATTAATGTACTCCAGAGAGGAAAGAAAACCAAACTAGTTCTTAGAATTATAGTATAAACAACTTATTTTTAATGGAAATTATAACAATAGAACTGTTATGGAGTTGAAAAAATCCTCAAGCTACTGGTGGCTAATGTCATAAGAAGCATTACTACTAATACTTTAATACAGTACTGATAACTGCAAGAAGAACTAGTGAAAATTCCCATAGCTTAACAAAAAATTTTACAGCCCAAAAGATTTTTACATACATAAAGTATGACAAAGACTACTGAGTTAACAATATTTTAAACTTAAATGATAAGAGATCTGAGGAACTACAAAGTCTTGCCAATCTAGCTACAATAACAGAACATGTTTCATCTTCTATAGCCTGAAGTCTAAAGAATGTGAGTTCAAAGGACAAATGTGATCAACTGTCACAGAGCTCAAGTTGCAGAAAGGCCTTGAAAATCTCCAAAAGAAACAAGTTGGACACTACTACTGATGGGGCAATATATAGCTAGTAAAGCATTACCCTTTCTTGGTACTTAACTTTTCTGTATAGATAAAGAGATGACAACAGATTACTAGTGGCAACCAAGAATATTTTAATTCGGTCACATGAATGGATGGTGTTATAAATTAAATCAAAATAAATTCTGACAGAAAATAATTCCATATCTACATAGACTTACCTGACCCAACATGACCTGCATACTTGACAAGGCACTTCCCAGTTTCTATGCTCCATAATAAAGCTGTGTGATCTGGAAAGGAAGGAAAGTTGCATCTGAACAATATCTATCATACAGAAAGTAAACAGGCCTAAGAATTTCTAACATCATAAAATGATCAACAAAATACCTTTAAATATATCAATTACAAAAGTGCTGTGTCCAAACATAGCATCTGTTCTACTAGGTGACTTGTCAAGTCAGTCACAAAGCTGATCCACTGAATGGCTCCTTATTCAGCCACTGGGAAAATTTACATCTGCATTATCTTAGCTAAGCATATCTTAAAAGATTAATTTAATTGTAGAATTAATAAATCTGAAACAGATTTTAAAACAACCCTACGAAATTGATCTATCCTCAAAGGGAAATTAAAATAAAGCTAAATAACATTACAGTAAAACATTCCTTATAATTTATTCTTAAAAGACATTGATGTTTATATAGGCTATTTTGAAAAATAATGAGGAAGTACAACTTTTATTGTCTATTTGGGATATGCCCAAAGAAGAAATTCATACATAAGATGCAAAAAAGAAAAGAGAAAGTTCTTTTCTTTACAATGTCCAGAAAATATAAATCTGAAAAGAAAAACTTTTAAATAAAATTCCTTTATACATGACAAAACTAGAAAAATTACTTTTTCTTTCTAAAGGCCTATTTAGATAGTTGACTGAATATAGCTTTTTTTATTATACTGCTATAGTCCATTCTTGATTATGTATTCTAATTCAAGACAGTAGATGTAAGGATAACAGAAAAATTTTCACTTGGATTTAACAAGTTGTCTACTTACATTTGAACATGAGTATTTGATTGTCTTATAATTAGTACCATTTCAAACAAAATAATTAAAATACTCTATAAAAGTCTGACTTTAAAGAAATTGGAAATTATCCAGCTTTCCATACTAACCTCTGACTCAATTCCTTACCAATCCATATTTCACATGTGGAACACATTAAAGGACACCTTAGCTATAAAAAAGCATCACTGTTGAACACAGCAAGTCTCTTCTGAATTTAAACTTATTTAAGAAAAAATTTACTAACAATTCCTAAAAATATTCCTACCCAAAGTGGAATTGACCTATGAAATAGTCAGCTACCCTTTGTGAAAGTCTTCAAGCAAGGGCTAGACTAACTATCTCTAAAATACATCATGGAGACGATTCCTTGGTTTGGACTTGATGGCCTCATTGTTTCTTCCAAACCAGAGATTTTCTGAAATATTCTAACTTAGACCTTCCTGAGGCAAAGAAGTTTTGTTTTGGTTTAACTGCTAGTTCCTGGACTACAATGATCAAAAATCCCATTTATGTGAATAAAACAATTAACCAAGTAAAGCTAGTAATAATATCAATATGGATTTGAAAATAATATTATCCCTGATAGATCCGTCTGAAAATTACAAAGGGTTACAAAAAACTTACCATCATCCAAATTTTATAAGGCAATTAAAAAAATAAAATAGGCTCTCTTTTAACACTTAGATAGTATACACCTCATAAATAAAGCTGATTAGAAAATCAATATTAACACTTAAGTACACTAGAAGCTCGGCTGTAGGCGTTAGAGTTAACCTGTAAGGAGTCCGTCTACAAATAAGAGAATGGTTTAGGATACTAAACCACCCAATGCCGATGACTGATTCTCCTATTCTCAGCAATCAGGAAAAAAAAATGGTTTCTCTCTTGGTACTCCATTCCACAGTTTGATTTCAGTCAAAGTCTGTCTCATCAAACCATCTCTTATTTCAATCTGACCTTTTAGCAAGTCACTTAAAACTTCTTGGGGCCTCATTTTCTTGATTTGTAAAATGAGATGGCTGACTGGGTGATCTCTAAAGTACTAACAATCAAATCGAGTATTGTGGAGTTTCAAGGAAAACTTCAGCAATAACTCGTATTTGTAGGAGGGAATTCCCTTATGGATAGAAAAAAAAAATTATCTAAAACTGTCTCCTCTTTGTTCTAACTAAACGTGGCTTTCTTTTGACATTTCCACGTTACCCCTGGAACCAGAGATGAATGAGCAATCATTCAACAAGTTTGGTAAATCATTTTAATAATGGAATACCCCCCCATTTATTTGTTAATTAAAAATGGGTACTGAAAATAATACATTATTTTATAGACTCATGGTGATCTATAATAAATCGTTGTCCTTTGTTGAATAGTAAGGTAGGTACTACCTAAACCGCGCTACTGTTATTGAGTTATTTTCTAGGGACTTCTTCAAACTTTAACCCCCCCCTTGCCATCTTTGAGTATACTTATTAAAAATAATAAAGAAAATTCCATTAATAGAATTACACTGAAAAGCTAATGGCTGAATATGCTCCTACAACCAGAATGATTTAGCCATAAATAACAACAACAAGGGGTGAAAAAATCAGAAGTATTCCCAAAAAGGGAAGATTAAAGAAGGGAGGCAAACAGAGCTGCTCAAAAAAGCTTAGTTTCACTCCAGAGGTAAATATAGTGATAGGTAAAGAGAATGTAATTATATAAAATAGTTTCCATTTAGAAGAGTTACATTTGAGAACTACTCCTTTCACTTAAGAGCTTCAGCACTCAAGAAAAAATGAAATACTTTATCAAAACATTTTAAACAATTAGAACTTGTGACAAAAAATTTTTAAAAACAAAAGTACCCAAAAAAGCTAGACAATGCCATCCTGGCTTCATTCACTGCTGCTTACAATGTGATATACTCAAACTTCAATCCTAAATCACTTTTAGGTTTTATGATTAATATGATTAATAAATATTTCAACTGGACTATTTCAGTTATCATCATGTCAGCAATATATCAGTTATCGCTATTTAGTTTCCAAAAACTGTAGGTGAATAATTTTTTTTTTTTTTTTAAATCTTTCAAAGTTTACCAGCAGAAGCGGTCCCCAACACCACCGGCTGTGTCCTTGTAACACTCACATCCCAGATTCCATCCCTGTGGCCAACATATTCCTTCACTAGTTGGCAAACTGCCCTTGATGTTGTAGTCTTAAAACTGGAAACAATCTAAAACAATAAACATAATATTTACATCATTCCATTTGACTGCAATCAATAATTTTTTAAGTAAACTACCGGAAGAGGAACTTTTTAAAAAGTCTCTCTCATTTTTTTCCAACTGCAAAGAGAATATTTTAGGCATTAAAGTAATTTGACTAAAGCACACATTCAAACCAAGAATTTGAAATTACTTGAAAGCAAAAGAATCTTCCGGCTTTGTGCCAATATTACTAATTAAGTGCCTGCCATGGATTTTACTCTCTTTAGCTTTTTTTTATCTAGTTGTTGCTGTAAGAGAAAATTATAGCAAAAGAAAAAATATATTAGGACATTTATTTCCCCATAAATTTAAATCATATCAAGCCATAACACATTTAAGAGCATTAGAGGCTTGTTACAGTATTCAAAAAGCACATATATAACAACAGACAAAAGATTCTGATGTCTTGCTCTAATTAAAATTTTAAGTTTCATTGACTAGAGGCCCAGTTACAGCCCAGAGTTTTACTTTTAAAATCTTCTTTAACTACAGAAAACAAAAAATAAATTTAAGAAGTCTTTTAAAATCTATTTAAACCTAACATATGTTGAGGATTATCAACCATCACATAATTTCAAGAAAGCAGTTCCAGAATCACAGATATAAAGTCCCTTCCAGCTCTAGATTCATGATTCTGTGATCCTAGAACTGCTGTCCTGAAATAACAAAATATCAACAACAGATTAAAAAACAACTTTTCTAAAGAAACTGGCATTATGGTATATGAATCTAATGGAAAATTACTATGTTATAAAAAATTATGAATACAACAAATAGATAAAGAAGTGAAGTCATATAAATTGATGCAAAATGAAGTAAGCAGAACCAGGAAAACAATATACGCTAACAACTACAATAATTTAAGAAGAAGGAACAATAACAAAGCAATTAAAATTGAATGATATAAAACTAAAATGACCAACTTTGGTTCTGAAAAAGAAACCTAAGAGGGTACTTCCCCTTCCTTATTATAAGAGATGTAGGTCCATGGATGACAAGCACTAAATATGTCAGATTTTTCAACGTGTTAGTTTTGCTGAACTGCTTTTTTTTTCCTTTGTTTAAAAAAGATGGCTGCAAGGAATAGGGTGAGACAAAGGATACATTGGGAAATGCAGATGATATAAAAATAAAAGAGATCAATAAAAAAAATTTAGTGGAAAAGAAATAATTGATACTACTTAACATTGGCTTAAAGACTTACTAAGCAAAACAGTTTTTTGGAAAAATCATTACATGTAAAAGAGAATGCCTTTAAAACAATTTATTATTAAAGAATATCAGGGAACATAGGAAATGGCTCTATGTCTATGCTTTGATATGTAGAAGTCACTATTTCTTAGTTACAGCATTTTCTGAAACTAAAAACAGCCCTTTTTTCTTATTCAAAAAGTGATTTATCTTTATAAAAATATTATTCTGTGAATATACCATGAGTTTGATTAAAGTGTTCATTTTCAAATTCGTTGTCTTTACCATCTTATTGCCAAACCTTAAGAAATTTATTAAAAGTGATTCAGGGGAAAGGTGCTATGGGTCCTTTTCATATAACTTTTCATTTCTCCTACTATCTCATCAAGGATACTGTTTGCCTAAAAGATTCTGAGTCAGAAGAAGAAATTTTTGTAAATGAATCTAAATTGTAGTTGTTTTTATGATGCATGCTTAACTTTTATACCAAGAATCCATTCTAGAATACTAATCAGGATACATATAAGCTACTAAACTATTTCTCCTCTCATTCATTTCTAGTATTTTTCATTATTATTTTTAACGTGAGTACCCAAATATCGTGAGGTGCTGAAGAGAACAGGAATAATATACTGCTGCTTAGGGTTTTAGCAGAATTCCATATATTTAAAAGTTTAGAAATTGGAGGTGAGAGAGAAGGACATTTTATAAAAAAGGCAAGCATCTTTATTAAACAAAACTATTCTGGCACATTGCTTGCTGTCTGAGCAGTTTCTTCATTATTTTAATATATAAGGAAATGGGGGGGGGGGGGGAAGTCTTCTCTTTTTCCACTTCAAAAAAGAAAAGAAACAGCTGAAAATTATGGAAGCCTGAAAAGGTATATTTCTTGTTTACTTTAAATTGGTCCTGAAATTTCACTGGTATGGGGAGCTCTGGGTAAACAACTCCCTCTACCAATGCACATTAGTAGCTTCTCTGCAACTTGTGGTCTCAAGAACTACTCAAGTGACACAATGGCAATATGTGTCAGAGATAAAACTTGAACACAGACCTTTCAGACTCTAAGGCCATTTCTCTATTCATTATGTAACATTTCCTCTCCATATTTCATAACACACACACATACATACATACATTCTTAATTTAGACTGTTAAAACCTACAACTAACATAACTTGCCAGATTAGGTAATATAATAAGAAAACAAAAAATATATAGAACACAGTATGATCTCCATAGTTTGAATTAGCATACTTTAATATAAGTTTCAAAACAATCAAATATAACTGAAATGCCATACTCTATTAATTAATTTCCATTTAAAAAAACCAAGCTGGCCAGAAGCAGTTTAACTCCTTTTTTGGGAAATTTAGAAAGTAATCTATACAAAATTCTAACACATATTTGGATTTTTAAAATAACCTTAAACAAAAGGAATACTAAAAGTTATCATTTACACTTTAATTTACTTGGCTATGGTCTTCAAGCTATGTGCTTTTTTTTAAGCCAAGGGAAGAGATGTTTTAAAAAATGTATCAAGTGATTGCACAATATTAAAAGAAACTCACCACAATGTTGAGCTTTGCTTCCCCCCTCCCTGCTTTAGTTCAGCAAAAAAACATTTAAACTTGTTAAATTCAGGGTCTTTGTTTTCTCTATGTTCTACATAGCAACTGGCACAATAAAACATAAACAAACAAAATACTACTGTGCTAGAGATAAATTATGGTTTAACAAACAAGCATTCACTTTTGACAGAAGGGTAATATTTCTCTCTCAAAAATTCAAATCCATACCACTATCTTTGGTTATGTAAGGGAGAAAAGACCACATTAAACTGTACCAGCAGCATCAGTTCACCTCTAATGCACATCTCAGCCTCCTTTACATTCTTAAAGGAGTAAATAAAGATGCTAACATACAGCAACAGAGGTACAATTCTAAATATAAAGTTCTCTAGCTTCCAGGGACATACATAACAGATAGGTGTGTACATACACTTTTACACACACATATGTATCTGTGTGTATACATACACAAATTATTGATTTAGAAATCAATAATACTTTACTTCCACTTGTTCTTTCTACTTTTACTTGAGTTTTTAATCAGGCTAATTAACATTAAACATTGAGACTTCATTCATTTGAAAATATGAATTTTTCTATTTTATAAAGCATTCTTATATTAAAGACTTATTTTGTAAATATCTACCACAAGTAATAAATATTTATCATTAACTTTAAAAGTTTCCTTAGAAAAATAACTAAATCAGTTTCCATTTAATATTTTCTATTCACAATACTCTCAAATAATCAAATGTGATCTCATCAAGATGGCTGGTTATTTCTTCCAAAAATGTAGATCACAATCCACCCATGCATTCCTAACTTGTGCAACTTATGTCCATGACCTTCCTGGTAAGTTCACCACAATGGAGGTGGCATAGACGTGCGATGGTGTCACTTCTAATGTGTCAAGAGTCTTTTCCTTGTTTTCTCCTGACAATGCAAGGATACTAATGGCTGCCTATGCGTCTGGTATTTTCAAAAACATTTACTGACTGCTTTCTCTGTGCAAGATAATAAGCTTCAGACACTCTGTGTATCGATTCTTCAATACCCTCATAATTGTGCTGACTACAGCATGAAATTTCTCTTTATATACTTTTTGTGATCTGGCCACTTCTCCCATCTTTGTTTTTCTTGGTGCTGTTTCTAGCTCCACTGTAAACACATTAAAGAATGTGATGTTAAGAGTTCAAGTGAGATGACTTCATTATTCTTGATAGTTGGAAAAGTATACAAAATAAAAACAATATACATATTTTAAATATTGCATTCAAGAGCAAATAGTAATATGGAATACAGTGGTGTCTTGCATACCTTGCTAGTAGAAGCTTTGTAAGTGGTCTTTAATTTCTGAGAAAGCTGACTGGTACTATGACTGGCTGTTAAGATAAAAAAAAAAATTGACATTGAAAGAGATAGAAACTGATGGAATTTTAGTGATGTAAGTGACTTTAAATATCATCTAATCCAACTGTTTCATTTTACATATAAGGAAACTGAGCTCCAAAGAAGGTAAGTGAAGTGCCCACAACCACATAGCTACAGAATTAGGACTGGAATCCAGGCTTCATTATTCCCAGTCCAGTGTTCTTCCCATTAAATGTTTGCCATCAAACTGAACTAGGTATTTGAAGACTATTGTTCTGTAATAGTACAAATGAATTCATTTCTATTATTAAATTCTAAGTCTAGCTCAATGTGTAATTTGTATAAGAAAAAGGAAACAAGTTTTAAATAAGTACTCATTTAACCTTACCTTTTGTTTTCAGCTGACCCTTACTCAGTTCTGCCCCATCAATTGTTTGTCCTTCAGCAGCAAGACGCTCATTAAGGGTATCGATTTCTCTCCGCACTAAGAATTTCAAAGAGGCAAACTAAGAATATACACATTTCACGAAATTTTAATTTCAGAACTCAAGCACTTGAAATAACAAAAATCTGATATTTTCCTGCTATTTTAAAAAAACATATGACCATATTCTACCATGACAAAAACAATTAAAGTTCTAAATTGATTGACCACACAAAGTCAATTGTCATCAATATAAAGTTACAAGCTCCACCTTGAACCAAGAAAAATAATTTTTAAAAACTTCATTCTGTAGTGATAATAAAGGAATATAAAGAAGTTATAATAAAGGAATATAAATAAGACAGTTTTCCTAATAACACACATAGAAAAAAATCTCAAGATTCATACAAAAAAGCCACAACTAACACATCAAAATATATATAAACTGCCTACCATGTGCAAGACAGTAAGTAGGAGCAATGAGGGACACAAAGAAATCTAAAACACAGTCCCTATCTTCAAGCAGTTTACAACCTAATCGGGAAAGTAAAATATATAAAGATAAAAAGATACTTAACTACACAGAGCTGTCTTTTAACAAGTCTTTGAATAACTGTATGGTACTGGAAACTGCCACAAGAGAAGAGAGTGTAAAAGATTGTCACTGGCTTCATAAAGGTCAATAAATGGCTGGTTATTGAGCATTAGTTACCATCAGGAAGGTTAAGGACCACTGGGGAGTTATGGAGTTATTTCAAATAGTCTGGAAAATTTAGATTACAAGTTCCTTGAGAATAAGATATCTTTTGCCTTTCTTCGTATCCTTGGCAGTTAACACAATGCCTGGCACCTAGTAGGCACTTAATAAATGCTACATGACTGACTGAAAACCCATGTGCACACCAAATGTTATAATTATTCTTAATCTAACTCCCACAAAATGTAAAAAGTGAATAATGGACTTTGTTGTCAGTGGTGTTGTATTACTGATGATTCATAAAGCTCAGTGGGAAAAGTAATTCGAGTAAAAGTCTTTACACCAAAGAGCACAGAGAACTTCTGACTTTAATTCTAAGTACCCCAAACTGTCCAATCAAAGCTATGAAACACCTACATGTTTTTTGCTACAAGTTATTTATGAAAGTTTATTGTTTTATTATTCTTTGCACTTACGTCTAAAAACCAAAACAAGATATGAAAGCAAATCTAAAACTGAAATGTTCACAGCTTCAAACACACTTCCAATCTGAAAGTTGCAAAACAGCACCAGCCATGTGAACAAATGATTCCACATAAGCTCCTTTATACTTTTTATAAGTTAAATATATACCTAATACATATATAAATACTTTTCAAGTATATACATACTGTTAAGATTTATAAAACATAAATTCTTTAAAGCAATACTAAATTCATAGTAATATTGTCATCCTATATTTTCACAAATGATGAAAACTGACATTTATTTCACTCCTTAAGCATGGCAAAGTACTTTCTATGCAAACCTTATGCCAACCCTAAAAGGTTGGTACCACAGGAATTTACTCCCATTTTACAAATGAAGAAACTAAAGCAGCAGAGAGAAGAAAATGATTCGCCCAGTGGAAGGTCACTTGGAGGTAGCAGCAGGTCTTCTTCATACAGCCCAGTACTATCCCCACCACTGCACACACTGTCTGGAAAGCATGCATGGGATCTCTAATTCCTTATGCTTCCAAAACTCTTTATGCTTTTATTAATACAACTACTGCCATGTAAAGACCAATAATATCTGCTGATGTTAAAATGAAGGGAGTGGTAAAAAGCTCAAGTACAAATGATGCAGAACATTCAGGGCCCCGAACATGCCACTTTTAATTATCTTCCATTATGAGTCTTCATGTTTCGGCCAGATCAAAGCAACCTTCATTTTAAAATTTCTAGAGATTAACATGTATTACACTAAGAAATATAAGTCTAAATATATATATATATATTTCCAATATAACTTTCAGGTTCAATTTCAAAACGTAGGACTGAAGAATATACTTTAATAGTCCTGAGATTATATGCAATTTTAGCAAATTATCTGATAATCCACTCAGGTCAATTTAATTTCAAAGCTCTGAGCTGCCAGAGAAATTGACTATGTTTTTCTTATATTTGGAGTTTTAATTGATGTTACTTGTTTGGCCATGCTGGAAAAAGGTGGTTATTTGCTTCACTTGAGCTTGGAATCCAAATAACCTTTGATACAAAAGGAGTTAATTCTGTTTAATGAAGTAACAATGTTTCTGCACTAAAAGAGAAAAGATCTTCAACATGCCCAGCATTCCTGAAAATCATTTTGTTATTTTAATAATAGTGTTCTATTGATTTAGCTTCAACTTATTAGACATGATCTTTGTATTCCCAGCACCCAGCACAGTGCCTGGTACGAAGCACACATTTAATAAATGCTTATTGAATTGAATTGAATTCCTGTGCCATGGGGAATGGTGACTATGAATTATTCTAAGAAACAAGTCTTCTATGAATTAATGCAACAGGAAGAAAGTAGAAAGCCTATAACAATATTCACAATGACAACAAAACACGGATAGGGAATTAAAAGACTGGTCAAATACCAAGGTAATATTGGCAGAGTTAAAAAACAAAACCTTCCTTTCAGTTTAACCACAAACTTTTTTCTGAAAACTTTCTTTGTAAGTGGTTTTTTGTTTAGGTGTTTGGAAAAGTATCTGTTGTGTCAAAATAAAATTATCAAAAAATTTTTTAAGTTCTAAAGAAAAATTAAAAGTATGCTTTGTTTCATACCAGTCATCCTTACAATATTTTCAACAGCCAAATAGACTATTTTCTCAGTTCTGAGGATAAATGAAATGCACATAAAAGTTACATTAAAAAAAAAATACTTACATTCTAAATTTTCAATATAAAGATTTTCAAACTCTCTTTCTATTTGACCAAAAAGCTCCAGAAGTGTGTTCCGAACTGAAGAGGGGAGTTTAGAATCCTATTAGAAGAAAAGTTATTAATATGGATAAAATATCACTTGCAAAAATGAACTTTCATAATTTATTCTGAAAAGTCTCCTACTCTTTATAGTACTTCTCCCAATAGGGTCTAGAGATTTCTCACTCAAAGGAAATTCAGAGTTATAAATATATAGAAAGAGATGATAAAACTGATAAATGACATCAGGTAATGAGACACTTCTTTAGTAAAATAAAATATGAATTTAACTTGATCTATGGAGAGAAAACATTATGTCCATAATGTACCAAATTACCAAAAAAAGGGCCTTTTTCCCTATTGGAAATTACGCAATACAATGTTATAAAAGACTTTTAATTGCAATCAGTATGCAACATACAAGCAACGGAGAATATATGTATGTGGAGATTCCTAGTTAAGCTTCTCAGTACATAGAATTACACAATCTCAGGGTTGGAAGGGAACCTAAAGGCCATCTAATCTAAACCATACCTGAACTCTGCAATATATTGGTCAAGGGGGTCATCTAATGAAAACCTAGGCAGGAGGCAGGAGCCTTCCACCTCCTACAGCTGCCCATTCCACTTTTAGATAGTACTGTTTATGAAGCTCAGAAAAGAGATAATGAAATGTAAACTTCATCCTTCATGGCAGTGACAGCAAGGGCAGAATACTGGGTACATGATAACATACTGTACATATGCACTGCTTAATTGTTTTTCTTTGATGAGATAGAGGGTTCAAACTGGGAATGGAAGGAGAGAGGGGAAGAGAAAGAAAGGTGAATGACTATGACAAAAAGCAAGATACACCAACAAAATACCTTGCAAATTATAATCCTTTTAAATTTGGTTTTGAGGTACAGGTACAGGGATTAAATAATTTGCAAGATATTTTACTGAAATAGCCATGGGACTTAAAACTATATTAAAGCTAAAGTATTAAATTATAGTATTACTTGAAGAAAAATTTTGAAAAAGCTTCTTGTTCAAAATTGACATATTATAAAAATATTTTAACAATAGAAGCTCAATAAAAATTTGTTTAAAGGTATTCTTTTTTAAAAGTTTATAAAACTAAGCATTCACTTTTAAACTGAAATATGTTCCTCAGCATACATTTTAAATTTTTAACAAAGTCAGAAAGAACATAAACACTTTTTAAAGCTATTCAATAGAATTATTGGATTCATTCATTCATTCAAGAAGCATCTATGAAGTTCCTCCTATGTTCTATCCAGGCACTATGCTAGGCAAAACTCAAGAACAAAGTCTAAAAAAAATATTTCTGTAGTAACAGTCTAGGTTTGTCAATGCAGAATCTTTGACTAAAAATAACCTTGTGAATTAGTATGTGTGTTTATGCATAAAATAATTTTCTATATATTTCCAAGAGACACTAGTACAAACTGACATATATTTTTACTTTGCTGGTTACTATCCAGCTCTGCTATTTACTATCTTTGTGGTCTTAGGCAAAATTAGGGGTTGGGGCCTAAAGATATTTCTAAAATTCTGCCTAGCCCTATATCTATGATCCACCTGACCAGCTATGTCTACTTCTATATTAATAATGATATACTACTAAAATTTAAAAAAAAACAACAACACTTACAGCTACTGTAATAAACTTTGTAAATACAGAAGCTAACTCCATGGCTGTTTCTTTACTTCGAGGTAAATCATGTTTCTGCAAGCTCTGATATAAGGCAACTAAGTGGCATGATAGTGCACAGAGCACTGGGCTTGGAGTCTGGAAGGCCTGAGTTCAAATCCAGTTTCAGACATTTACTAGCTGTCTGACCCTGGGTAAGTCACTGAGCTACCTGTAGGCTCAGTTTCTTCATCTGTATAATGAAGACAATAATAGAACCTACTTCCCAGGGTTGTTGTGAGGATCAAATGAGATAATTGTAATGCCCTCTGCAAACCTTAGAAATAAATAAATAGTAATAGAATAATAGAATAAAGAAATAGTAATAGAAAAATAAATAGTAGCTTTATGCTGTCCTCAGTCACTCCCTCACATTTCTGGGCACTCTCTCTGCTTCAAAAGGTCGTGCTAGTTAGAAGAACAGTCTAATCTAAATGTTAAAGGTGTAGTATTTTTTAGAAGGTTAGAAATTATTAAAGATAAGAGTATAGTTAGGAACTCTTGATTCAATTCCTAGAATTACTAAATATTCTATAATTTTGAACAAGTATACCCTCTTTGTTTTCATTATTTCATTTGTATTAAGACAATATATGAGTGTGTGTGTATATATATATATATACACACACGCACGTATGTATGCGTGTGTATGTGTGTGTGTATATACGCACATACACACATACTATACATAATCACTTTATAGGCTGACAATATAATGAGTTCAAATAACTTCAAATAAAAGGTCTTAAAAGAAAAAAAAGGAATTATGTTCCTGTGTGTATGTGTATATTTTTTTTCACCTTTCCTTTAAAGAGCTTGAGTTATTTATTGCATTCACAAATTTTAAACAATAGAGAAAAAGATATGGAGAAACAGCTATTCAAATAAAAAATACATGATACTCTTTCCACATGCAAATATCCATACTAATTTCAACCAAAAATGTCAAGTGCCACACACTTAACATGTAAAAGTACATACAGGGGCAGCTAGGTGGTGTAATGGATAGAGCTCCATCCTTGGAGTCAGGAGAACCTGAGTTCAAATTTGGCCTCAGACATTTGACATTTACTAGCTGTGTGACCCTGGGCAAGTCACTTAACCCCAACTGCCTCCCCCAAAAAAGAAAAAAAAAAGTACATACATACTGGACACTTGGTTTCATAACCAGTTATGGCTTCTGAATTGGAAGAGAACCAGATGACATACAGCCTAATATGCCTAAGGCTTATTAACCTTGGGCACAATGATTCACAGCTGACCAGTTATTTACACAGCAGCCTCCATAGCTTCAACTAGGCAATACTACTACTGAGGCTTTCTGGGTCAGACAACAGTCAGAGTTCACCTAAACTGTCATTTAGGCCTTATAAAGTCTTTATCTGTAGCACGTTATGAATGCACAAAGAGACACATATACAGGGCCCCAAAATACACCTTCTAGATCACTGCTACAAAACAGGTTATGCTGGATATGCTTCCTAAATATCTAATGTTAGTCTGAATAATATTACATGAATCATCATATTTACTTACAGTACATACTTTCTGAAATTTTAGTGGATTTACAACTTGAAAGATCTGATGCAATGTTAGACTGCCCTTTTTCTCAGATTAAATTCTCAGGAAGATGCACAAATCACAAAATAAATTGGTCTCCAACAGTACAAAGATCTTAGTGGCAATGAATATCTAACCAAAAAAAATAATTTTAAAAATTATGCATAAAAATGAGAAATGCCTTAAGGAGTTTCCAGATTTTGCCTCCATTCATATATTGTCAATTATCTGTTCAACTAGATTATAATCCATCGATGGTCTGATTCAAAACCCTGAGACTTAACATTTTTACCAACTATATTTATCTGTATATTTACATGAGCTCATGTGGATTTTGCACTAAATTATAAATATTTTAGGTGTTTTGGTCTTAAATAATAAATTACAGAGTAATGAAATTTAACTGTGGGTAATCAAGAAATAAAGCATAACATGACAATTTAACTTATCCACTAGAGGGCGAATTTGTTCCAAAACAAAGAATTTTCAATCATACATTAATAGTCTAGCAAAGATTATTATAGCTAAAGAATTTCTAGACTAAGTTAATAGTAATAATTTTATAAAAGACTTAGATTCTTAAAATATCTATTTCTGCTCCATATCTTTCATTTAAACAGAGCATCTATGTTTATTATTAACTGTTTACTTAAATATTCTGGCAAATTAAAAAAATATTTGAAATGAAAATTCTAATACGCAACTGTGACAAATTAACAATATATTTCTTTCCTTTTATACTAAGACCAGGCTATGAACAGACTAAATTGATCAAGGACAAATAATGAGTTGCTCTAATCAAAAGTACAATTTTTGTTTTATTCTACTGATTATTATCTGAAAAAAAAAGTCAAGTTTGTTCAATTCTACAAACTAGGATTGAGAAATTTAATTAACCATTCAGGGCATTTTGTTTAGGTTATGCAATAGACAAAATAACTCCATGTATAGGTTTCAAGTTATTAAGTAAAAACGAGTAAACGAGTAAAAATTTCTCACTTGAAAACAATGAGATGGAAATGGTCCAAAGTATTCAAATTTTTTAAATCTTGTGTTTATTTTTATAGTAAGATATGTTCCTATAACACAGAGAAATTATGACTAGCATTCTTCAGGGATCAAAGTTACTACATTACTACCATTTAGTATCTAAACTTTCTATTTATCAATAAAATATAAGACAGTCATAACCTATCTCCTTCACGCTAATTAAAAGTCTTCAGAAAAATTAACAAGAGTTTGTTAGATAAACTTTCATTTTAGACCTCTTTAAAACCAAAATGTAATGAGACATTTTTTCTGCATTTTGGTAATAATCTCTTCTCAAATAGCACTCACTTTTAAAGGCCAATGTTTTCATCATTATATATATTTTTAAAAAGTATGTTCCATTCTGTAATCAAATGCCATACTGGTGGGGGGAAAAATCTTAAATTTAATTCTACAAGTAAAATGATGACCTTTTACCCCAAATAAATCCTCTACCACAAAACTTCTTGACTTTATCCATCATTCTCTCTTCCTTAACACCCGTCTTTAATGAAGAGGTCACCCTTCTAGTCAACAAGACCAGTTCCTCTTGAGATTTACCCTTGATTCTTTTCCTTCCATCTTCTTCACCAGACTAACATCCTTGCTCTGTAATCTTCAATCTTCTATTTACTGGTGCCTACAAACGTGCCTAAGTATCCTTAAGCCCGAAAAAAAAATCCTCACAAGAGCCTATTATCCCTTCAAGATACTGCCCCATATCTGTATTCCTTTTCAGAGGAAGAAAAGAAGAAAGGAAAGAAGGGAGGAAGGAAA